ATTCGTCGTGAATATGTGACGTGAATATGTGAATTCGTGAATATGTGAATTCGTGAATATGTGAATTCGTGAATATGTGAATTCGTGAATATGTGAATTCGTGAATATGTGAATTCGTGAATATGTGAATTCGTGAATATGTGAATTCGTGAATATGTGAATTCGTGAATATGTGACATTGTGAATTTGTGAATTTCTGAATTTATGAATCAAAAATTTGAAAATGCAAGATATAATAATGTAGAATATTGAAATTCCTATAATTCTTTCTAAATTCCTAAATTCCGTTACTAAAGTCCGTTAAAATACTTTTAATTTTCTACTTCCACTGATGGTTTTAGAAAAATCTTCTCAAAGGGTGAAGAAATAATGAGACCGTAACAATTTACCTTAGACTCCACGTAATAGTCGAGTAATTCACTTACAAAGAAAGCCGTTTATTCTCCCCGTTCATTTTCCATTATTTCACAGCTACAAATTAAGAAAGTATAACAATTATCCTCGAAGCAATTTCATTTCCAACGAGCTCGTTACACTTCATAGGTTCCTTCTGTTTCTTTCTTTTCTTTTCAATTATCCTCGCGAACGTTTTCTCGAACGATCTTTCTAATGGTCGAAGAAGAAAAAAGGCGAAGCTGTATAAGCAAATTTCATCGGTGCAACGATCTTCGCGAGCATCATCGCGCGTGCAACGACTATTGCGCTTTGTTTCCGTTTTAAACCGTTCGCTCCTCTGCACAGAGCCATAAAAAGTTCAATATCGAGCTGAAAAGCTGCTGCGAACCGAGTGGTGTGGAAACCATACACGTATATATGTATAAACAGACTGCAAAGTCGACGGGGTAGTAAGAATCGTGGTAAGGGGGCGAGTAGTGATAAATCGGGTTACTCCGTCTCTATTCGGTGCTATTCGTATAATCAGGTGATACGCCTGATGGTCAAAATCATAAAATTATGTGGTTGGAATGTGAAAATGCGATCGAGAAGGATGATAGAAGTTTCTGCGAGAAAAATATATACGTTTAAACCCACTGAAGTTTGACATCTTAAATTATAAATGATTGAATAAAAATGAAAAAAAAGTGACTTGAAAAATTTATATTTTTCAAAAAAAGAATATACATTAAAAAATGTATGCATCATGGAATGTACAAAAACATTTATTGTGCTTGTGAAAAAAATTTATAATACAATGTTTGTGAAAAATATTTATTGTACAATGTTTGTGAGAAATATATTTATTATAGAATATTTTTCCGTTTCTCGGAGAAGAATCTTAGCATTGAGATATAAATTTTCGTTCGTTCTGCGCATGTTGATTCCAATTGGTTTACAAATATCCGTAACGCACATGCGCTATAAAACTGCAACGCGCATGCGCTACATAAATGTAAAGTGTACCAAACGCATACAGATAACGATTAAAAAGTTTTGTACTTTTATTCTTCATTATTATGTTTCTACTTCTAAATACCATTTTAAGCTTTAAATAAGACGTTTACTGTGTAGGTATAACAATTTTATTAAAAAAGAAACTTATTTGTCATCTCTTAAGCTTTTGAACTTCATACAATTCTAAAATATAAGATCAATTTTTTAAAAATATGAAGGTGTCCTAGTCTGATATTATACAGATGAAAAAGTTTGTCTTAATCTAAATTATACTAATTGGTGAAAGAATGAATTTAATGAAGTGATTGAGAAACAGATATAATTTATAATATAGTTTATAATATAGTGCAAAGTATCTTGCAACAGTGTTATCATTCATATTTTCTTTTTTTAATTATTTATAGCTTTTGTTCTATTTATGATTTACACAATCAAGTAAAATGCAAGAACTCACAATTTCAATTTCGTTTTCAAAAAATATTGTCACCAATTTAAAAAAATATTCTCCTCAACAGTTCCTATAAAAAGAACTCCTGCGACGTTCAGTGGCGCTCTTCACGATATAACATAAAACGAACATATCTGAAACTTCCCGATTTACCACTACTGAACTTCTGCCGCTTCTCTCTAATCTTAACGGTTTCTTCGCCTAAAGTAGTACTTTATGTTCCGTGTATATAAGTCTGTGGTGGCAACGGGCCCACCTATGTGCAACTACTTTTGCCCGTGCATCGCAAAGTGCCCCGGTTTCTATTGACTTCCGACCGGAGTTCGAGCAGAACCGAAATGCGCCTTCAAGATCTGGAACTGCGAAAACTTTCCTCCTCGGCCAGCTTGAAACTTCCTACAGTGCGGAAATGGAAACTACTGGTGCCTCTGTTTCACGGCGTGGCCGACCCTTATTTCCGCCACTCCTGTTCTCTTTTATTTTCGTGTAATAAATAACGGCAGAGAGATTGGCCTTGTTAGGAATATAATGATATGAAAATTCAAGACGGTGCAACTCTACGTGTTTTAACTCGGTGCGATTCATTTTGATGCAATTCAACTTATAACGTAATTTGGAGTTTTAATTCCACTAAATTCAATCTGACGCATTTTAATTCGATGTGTTTCAATTCTACGCGTTTCAATTTGATTCTACGCAATTTAAGTTAACTCATTTCAATCTAACGCTATTTAGATAGACACGATAAAATTTTCTGTAATTTAACTCTGTGTGATTCGACTCGTTAGAATTCAATTCGATGAATTCTAATTCAACAAGTTTCAGTTTTATGAGTTTTAATTTGATCCAACTCAATTCGACGCATTTTAATCCGATGTGTTTCCACGCGTTTCACTTTGATGCAATCCAAATAAATACATTTTAATTGAACATGTTTCAATTCCACGCGTTTTAGTTTGTCTCAAATCGAGGTATTTCAATCTAACGCTATTTAGTTAGACTTAAGAAAAATTTATGTTTTAACTCTGTGTTGTTCAATTTAATGCAATTTAAATTAATAATGTATTTTATTTCGGCGATTTTCAATTACTCGCGTTTCAATTTGACGCAATCCTAAATCAAATTGAATTCGTTAATCTTAAGTTCGACGCGAGATAATTTCATGCTCGCCAAATTTGTGTGATTTAATTCGACCAAGCTGAACTGAATGCGTTTTAATTCTACATGTTTAAATGTGACATTATTTTATTTGATGCAAATCAATATAACGCATTATAATTCGACACTATATGCATTTTTCTTGTGGTAACTCTGAGCAATGTAAACTGATGCAGTTCAACTCGGTGTGTTGCATCGTGTGTCAATTCTACAGATTTCCACTTTAGGCTATTCAATCCAATATACATATTTTAATCAGATATAATTCAATTCTATGCGTTTAAATTCGTTGCAATTTAATTCGACGTAATTCAGTCCGTTACAATTTAATTCAACGTAACTTAATTTAATGCAATTTAATTTGAAGCGAATTTGAATGCGATACGGTTTAATTCGATGCATTTCAATTTGGTAGAATTGAGTATGATGCAATTCGACCAATTTTACACCGACGTGATTTTACCTGACGCGTTTCAGAATGACGTGATTCAGTTTGATGTGTTTGCATTCGATGCCATAGTTCATCGTAATTCGACCAGGTGTAATTCAATTCGACATGACTCAGTTGACGTGATTCGATTCGATATAGTATTATTTCATGCAATTTAATTCGATGCAATGTAATTTGATGTGATTCAATTCGACAAAATGTAATTGAGTTCGATGCGACTCGAGACAGTTTAATATAATTAGACTAGTTTCAATTCGAAATGATTCAATTTGACGCGTCTCGATTCGACATAATTTAATTTGGTGCAATAAAATTAGACACAATGTGGTTCGGTCTAAGTTAAAATTCGAGGTAATTCGATTAGACGCAATTCAATGTTATTAATTCAATTCAATGCAACTCAAGTCGAAGTGATTCAGTGCGATAAATTTCAATCTGTCACGATTCACTTTAACACGTTTCAATTTGTTGCGATTGAGTTTGATGCGATTTAATTCCATGCAATTGCATTTGATGCAATTCAATCCGATGTAATTTAATTAACTCGTAAGTTTCTGGATTCATAAATTTCGGAACCTTCTAATTTTGTAATTTCCATTCGAATTTCTCGATTTCAAATAACCAAAAAATTTCGAAATTTTTGCATTTTGTGAAGATTTACGTTTTCTAATTTCCCTGTTTATATGAGGAGCCAATATTATAGATTTATATTAAATTAAAATTATTTTAAACCTGTCTTGGTTCTTTTCAATCCCATATAATCCCATATAATCTTCAAGAACTAAGAAGGAAACATATCCAACCCAGATATGTCAATTTCGATGAAACTCATGTGAGGTGTAGTTTTCAAAAAAAATTTGACATGTATCTTTTTTATCGAAAATCGTGCATTTTAAAGGGGTGATAACACGCTGTAAAGTTTGGGGCTGAAAGAACGTTTTGTGAAATATTTTCATAACTAGAAGGCGTAGAACCATAATTTTTTTAATTGCGTATTTTTAACCAGTTAAGTGTGTTTGACGACTATATCCGTCATGGCGATGTGGCAGAATTTTGTGTCATGACGACTATATCCGTCATGCGTAAAATTTTGTTATAATTTGATATTTAAATTGTAATTTTGACGAAAACTAAATTATATTCGTATATTGTAATATGTTTAAAATGTTTAGAGGTCAACACGAAATGAAATAAACAAATAAAAGGTGTAAATGATTTGAGATGGATTCATAAATTCTTGAGAGCTAACTCGTCATCACTTGATTAGCGCGACACACACTGGTGCGCGCTTTACAAAAAGATCGCCACAGTTACTGGTTGAGTTATGAATTCAGATGTAGGAGAAATGTAGAAATAATTTATTCAAATTATATTTACAGAATTTTATTTTTTTAAACAGTTCTTTTTGTTAAACGTCAATTTACATTGAAGTATATCGACTCACGTGAACTATAGACGATTCAAAAGTATTTTGTATCATATTCGTTATAAATCTTTCTCAAATTTCACTCTGGATATTGAATAAACATGAAATGTTTTTTGTATTTGCAGGACACTGTCAAAACGCGGAACCGCGTTATCAATACGACGCCAGAAAAATAGGTGATTTACGAGACGATTTACAGGCTGATGATACAGATCAGTCGTATGTGTAAGTATTTCTTATAACGCGAATATAAATTGTTGTCAAGGTTTCAAACTACAATAGACTCTCGCTATATGGCCACTTTCCGAATTTGTGACTCACCGTCCATCAATATATACGTTTACTCACCACAAAATGAGCTTTGGCGGGATATTAATTTAAAATCTACCAATCATTGCAATTGATTAAATAGCAAAGCGTTTACCTCGCTGTTCAGGTGTTTTGGTTACAAAGTAATCGATTAAAGCAGTCACATATATTATTCACATCGAAAAACAGGGAAAAAAGACTTGCCATTTTGAATTTCTAAAATTCATCAAAAATTTAGTGCATAAGGCATCATATAGACCTAATTCAATGTACAGGATCTGGTCGGAAATAATAATTAATCAATTAAAGTATAATTAAAACAATATTGTAGATAGTTACAATGTTATTTCTACTAAAGTTTAGTTAATTTAACAATAAATGCACTTGATCAATCATAAAAAAGTGTTTGAATTATAGTTGAAATGCAAATAATTAATGTAATCTGTGTAATCGGAGCTATCTGATGATGAAATTTTTTATTGTTTTTTCGTGCTTTAAAAGACTAATTTTGTATCATTTTTATGAAAATTTTGTTTTTCATTTATTTTATTTTATTTCTTTCAAATTTTACGAAAACTTTTATTTTTTTCAGTGCTATTTGTTAGTCTGTTTCTGTGTATATTTTTATTACTACTAATTATACGTATAAGCTAAACTATATGGTAGTATTCGTTACAATTAATTGAAAATGTGAAATGTGAAACCTAATATTTTCAGCTAAAATTGAAGCTATTTTAAGTTATATTCCTTTTTTCAAAAAATTATACAAGAATTTCGTTTTTTCTAGAAAAGTTATATTGTTGTCTACGAATCTATTAATCTAAAAATAAATATTACTTTAAAATTTAATAGAAAAATTATAGTTCAAAAACCAATTTTCAGTACGTAATTTAATAAACAGTTCATTGAAAATGGCGGTTTTACTACTTTAGCGGAGTATTATATGCCTTTCGTACACCTAACCTGAACATTAATTGTAATTAAACACTATACATACTTAAATACAAGGTTCGGTCAAATGTAAAAACTACCACGTAGTTCCTTATGTGAAAACAGGGACCAAATATAAAATACAATTTTTTAATGTCGAGCTTCAAGAATGTCAGATTTGAAAATCCACTATGATTCTTCGCTCTTATGACAATATTTTCTATCCAGTGACGTAAACGAGTATTGTGCTTACAAACAATGTTTGCACAGCATGTGAGTGCTATTGGCACGGAAGAAAAACACGGAAAAGATTTTCAACAGAAAGAATTTTTCAGTTACAAAGTTGCTGAAATTGTTCCAGTTGTCGGATGCACAGATATGCTGTGTCGAATTACCGCACTCTCGGTAACGTGTTTTTACTTTTCAATTCCTTAAATACATAATTAATTGCTTGCACTAATTGCTTCTGACTTTCAACATCTTTGCTGTATATTTTTTCTCTAATGTATTCCCATAAATAAAAGTCCAAGTGCGTAAGATCTACGGACCTTGGAGGCCAAGCGATCGTTCTTCCACGCCCCATCCAATAATCATAATTATCATTTAAAAATCTTCTTACATGTCCACTGAAGTATGATGAAGTACAACAATCGTTTACATTGCTTGACAGAAAATGTTGCCATAAAAGCACAGAAACGCAGTGGATTTTCAAACTTTATTTTCTCGAAAAGTAAGCCGAAAATCAAACAATTCTATCGTATATCTTTTCCTATTTTTGGTATAAGGAATTTCATGGTCTTTACATGTTATTTGATCGGGCACTGTATGATGTCTTGCAAACTTGATATACATTCTATTAGGTCCAAACAATGTTTGCACAGCATGTGAGTGCTATTGGCACGGAAGAAAAACACGGAAAAGATTTTCAACAGAAAGAATTTTTCAGTTACAAAGTTGCTGAAATTGTTCCAGTTGTCGGATGCACAGATATGCTGTGTCGAATTACCGCACTCTCGGTAACGTGTTTTTACTTTTCAATTCCTTAAATACATAATTAATTGCTTGCACTAATTGCTTCTGACTTTCAACATCTTTGCTGTATATTTTTTCTCTAATGTATTCCCATAAATAAAAGTCCAAGTGCGTAAGATCTACGGACCTTGGAGGCCAAGCGATCGTTCTTCCACGCCCCATCCAATAATCATAATTATCATTTAAAAATCTTCTTACATGTCCACTGAAGTATGATGAAGTACAACAATCGTTTACATTGCTTGACAGAAAATGTTGCCATAAAAGCACAGAAACGCAGTGGATTTTCAAACTTTATTTTCTCGAAAAGTAAGCCGAAAATCAAACAATTCTATCGTATATCTTTTCCTATTTTTGGTATAAGGAATTTCATGGTCTTTACATGTTATTTGATCGGGCACTGTATGATGTCTTGCAAACTTGATATACATTCTATTAGGTCCGACGATTCCGAAGCACCACCTATCGTATCGTTAATCCACGATCATCTCTATCAAGTTTCTAGAGGTCCGCTCTCGATTGTGTTCTACTCTGTAAATCAAATTTGATTTTACGGAAAACTAAGCTGACAATCAAACAATTTTATTGCATATTTTTTCTTATTTTTCTCTGAGAAGTTACGTGTTGTCTACTGTTACACTATTCAATCGTACCCTGTATGTATTGCGAATTTTAACAACTTTTTTGTGGCAATGCGAGAGTATATTGTAGAAACGAAGTTGGTAATAGAATATGAAGTAATGTTAAAGTAATTCATACTATTTGAGTGATAATGGTGGATAATTTGTGAAGATATTTAGGAAGTAATGCCTTTGTAAATTAAAGTTTCTATTACACTTATGAGCTGCCCCAGTCTCCCTGAGGAATGTGTAACTGGTGTCTACGAGAGTAGAGATAATAAGCGAACTGTCTCGTTAATTGCCAAGGCCGGCTGCTATATTTGTGGAACGATGTCAATTGTTTCAAGTAAGCCTACTTTTATGCCGATCTCGAAATAACAGCGATTATAAAAGCATTTTTCATTGTTAATCGCCCTGTTGAAATACGAAATTATCTTTCACTTATATCGCGTATATTCTTTATTTGTGCAACAGTAATATGAAATTAGTCGTTTAAAGTAATTTCACTTCGATATTGACATGGAATTTATATTTGTTTACAAACAGTTAAGGATTTAAATCTTTGTTTACAGTTTTACTTATTTTACCCAAGCCAAATTATTGTGTTACTGGTCGCGATATTTGTGTACTGAAATTCAATATATTTTCGATTAATCAATTATCAAGAAATAATTTTCTTGGAGGAATAGAAATTCGTTTAATCAAATTTTTTTACTGCTTTCCTTTTGTTGAACTATTAAGTCGAATTTAGTATCACATACAACGTTAAAATTTGTAAAAATATGCGTGGAAAGAGAAAAACATCACAAAGTTTACAGTTACTTTTTTCTAAAAATGCCACTTTGTTAAACATATGTAAATGATAAATTACAGTTACTGAAATTAGAAATTAAAACAGGAGAAAATCATAGAATTTCTATTTACATTCATGTAATTATGAAAATATAAGAAAATGAACACTGATAATTTTCGTAAAATATTTTATTCTTTCAAGATCGTACTTGAGAAAATCGAAAAACTTTGAAATATAATATTACCAAAAACGTGAGAAAATCGCAGAATTTCTGATTATATCATACTAACTTCATTGAAATACTAACGAAGATACTAACAAGTTGCAAAAGTTTCATTTAATTTTATTGAAAATCTTCTAATTATAATATGAATGCAAATGCAAGCATTTCGTGAAATTTCAGTTTAATTTTTCCGGCAGACTTCTAATTATGACTTGAACAACAGTGGAAGCGGAGAAAATAGCAAAGTTTTCATTTAAATTTCATAGAAACATTTGTATAAACTATTAAATTGTAACTATTTGCCACACTAATAAAAAGTAGTAATTGAAAACTAATAAAATTCCTGATTATAAAATGATCGAAATTATGAAAATTATAAATTGCAATTATTAATAATCAAAATAATGATCAAAATTCAAATAAATTGAGAAACTACTAACCATGATATAAAGGAACATACGAGCAAATTAAATAGCAAAACTTTTATTCAATTTTCATAAATAAATTCCAGTTTTGAAAAAATAATAAACTCCAGCTGTTAATGAGAATGAACAAATTTATGAAGAGGAAATCAGTAAAATTACTAATGTTGATACGATTGAAAGAGCAATCAAATAAAATTGCAATAATCTCGATTTCATTGCCCTTAAAGAATTATGTTTTAAAATAGCAGTAAATGTCATTGTCAGTACTACAATACAAATAAAATTTTCTTAAAATTTGAATTTGAAAAGTTTCTTAAATTTTCCCAAAATTATTAACATTATTATCGATACAAATAAAATAGAAAAGCGTTCAACATGAAGGTGAACAAAATCCGAGAAAATAAAATCGCAAAATTTATATTCAATACTCATTGAAAGACTCTGATTTTAAACAATACATTTCAGTTATTAACAATTCAATTAAAAATACGAAACAGTTGCAAAACTTTTGCTGGTAGTGCAAATTAAAATACGGACAAATGTAACTGTGGAATTTTCACTCGATTTAAAAAAATTCTATTTCTAGAATGTAATAAATTGATATTATAAATATTATAAAAGAAATTAGAAGATATTGCAAAACTTTTAATTATTATAAGGTTGTAGCTATGGTAAAATGAAATCACAAACTTCCACTTGATTTTCTTGAAATATTTTATTTTTAGCAAATAACACATTGTAGTTATTAGTAACTACGATAAAAATTGGAATAAATTATAAAATTCTTAACGATGATACCCATAAAATGCAAAAGAATGAACACCAAATTTGCCATTCAATTTTTTCTAAAAAATTTTAGTAATAAATTGCAATTATCAAGGATACAAATAAATAAATATTATAACAAAAAGTGTTTCTAATTAAGATAAAGAATTCAAATAAATGGAACTGTAAAATTTCTATTTATGTTCCTTAACAAAATTCTGTCGTGAAATAATACTAAATTATAATTAATACAATTAATAATTAAAATGTACGATATTATAATACAATATAATTAAAATGTATGAAAAAACCGGATCGCCAACTTTTCTTTTGCTTTCCTTAGCAAAATCCTGTTTACAAATAACAAGAACAATTAACAAATAAAACTGAAATAAAAGTTCAAAACAATAACCGAAGTCTTAATTAAAATACGAATGGAGTTTCTATAAAATTTCCTGTAGAAATCTCAAGATCGTAATTATTCAAGATACAACTAAAAATCGTGGAAATTCTGCGAATTTCTAATTAGGGCAGGGCACTTAAAAGTTTTGCGCCGATCAGGCTAATCGAGGCAAGCGATGGTTTGGTTAAGGAAGCCCGTTCCCTGTCGAAAGTTAGGAGGGGCAGCTTTTCACGGTTGAAATTTTAAAAAGGGCAACTTGAGGAGTTACACGGAGTTATGCATGCTGAAGGGAGAGTTGCTGGGTGCTCGAACTATAGTCTTTCCACTTTGTCGCGAGCGAAAAAGAAAGAAAGAAAAAAAGAAAAAACGGTTGGCTGTGTTATCCATTAGCTGGGATGCGTCTCTCGAGGGTAAAAAGGCGCTCGATGAGAGCGGCAGCTCTCTCTCATCTCAAAACGCAGCAGAGGTGCCGGAGACGGAAGCGGAAACGTCGCCTCGGGCAAACGGAAATAGGGACAAGGCCCTCGTTCCACCAGAAGGTGCTTCCAACTCGTCCCTTTGGTCGGCTTTGAATGTCAGTGAGTAAAAATGTTTGCTTTTCAAATCAGACCGAAAGTGTCCTTCACTTTGCTCCTGTTAATTTTTCCTGATAAACACGCTCTTTTTATCACGGTATTCAATGCCGGTATATTATGGTTCAACTTCATCTAAAAGGGCCATATTTTGATCCTTTTGCATGATGTAATAGAATTCATTAAATATATGTACTATATATTATATTAAAGTTTGTAGTGTATGGGATTTAGTGAAAATTTAAATTTGATATTTATAAATTGTTTTAATAAAAGTTATTTTGAAATAAGTTTATAGTAGTTATTTTGAATTCATTTATTTAATAATATAAATGATAATGTAAATGAAATTTGATGAAATTATGTAAAGTATAATTATTTAATATCTGATTACTTCTGTATCAGAATTAATTAAATTAAATTTAATAATGTTAAGTATTTCTATTATAAAAGATCTAAATTTATGTAAAAATATATAATTAGTCGACTAATTATACATATTTATATTTACCCCTTATTTATGTATAAATTCGTACAAGATTTGATTTTATATCTGAATGGACTTGATTTTTAAACAACTACTTCGACATATATTTTTCTTAATTCTCCCATTGGTTTTTATTGTTTCCATCAAAGGAACTTTTAATGAAATCCGTCAGCAGTAGTTTCAATTTCACGGTATACGTCTTTTATTAACTTCTCTCTTTTCATTTTAGAGTACCTAACCTTTATTAAATTCTTTATAAAGCGAAAATATCTACCTATACTTAAAACAATGAAGAAAATGTTATTAAGAATTTTATTAAAAATTTTACGTGTCCACGAAAGATATGTGAAACGATTCATGTTGTTTAAATATAATATTTCTGCAAATAGCATAATTTTGAGCAATTTCTTAAATCTTTAAGCTGATTATTCATAATTGAAAATGTATTCATTTTTTACTATTATATGTAAACTTTACTTGATATATTTTGAATACTCTTCTTTAGTTAGAATTATAGTTATATAAAATAATATATAACTATAATTATATTTCATATAAATATATTATATAATTACATGAAAAAACGTTTAATTTATTATTTAAGTTTAATTTGTCACTTATTTATATTTAATTTAGTTTGTTTTGTAATACTTTATGCATTTATGGAAAAATGAATTAACGATTGATGAAGTAACAATTTCAACAAAGTATAACGTCTTAAACGCTAAACATATTTATATTAAAAATATGACTAATACAAAAAATAAATCAATAAAAAAGTAATGCATTCAGATAAGGTAATTTCAAATAATTGTATGGTAACGATTACATGATAATATTGATGATTACTAGCTCTTTTTAAATTATCTCAACATAACTAATTAAGCCATAACTAATACCATCACTTGAATCTATTTGACTTACGATATGATAGTAATTAGAAGAACCATAAGCATGTGACTTACCAATCATTGACTTGCACTACTGTACTCATGACGTATTTTAAACATTGGTTCACGATTAATTGATGCTCCTATATAATTAAGATTATAACTCGTATGCTTCAGTTTAAAGTACCAAAGAAATCAATAAAAATTCAAAAATCATAGAAGTTAACGAATTTTGCCTTACTGATTCATGTCTCCAACGATACACAGTAGAGTCTCGTTATATTGCCACATTCCCGCGCACTAGTATTATTCCTCCACCATTGTAGTAGACAAAAATCGACGAAGACTGTCACAGGTGTTGCAGTGTTAACAATGAATATTTAAAATATGAGTTTTCGCTTTATAGTGTCATTTGGGGCAATATAACAAAAGTTTATTGATCTATTTGTTTAGAAGTGCAGTAAATAAGCATGTATAACTTTTAACTTGTACAGTTTAAATTCATTAATAAATTTAAAAACGTGTATATGAATCTATGCAGATTTATAAAATGTAGTAATATATTATATTTGCAAAAAAGAAAATATATTGATTTACTTGGGTAATCATCTCTTCTTTGGGGTTGGTTAAAGCTATTGTATAGAACAGAGATAACCACGCTATACAACACAGAAAAGTATTTGTAAAAATATATGTGTTCGTAGATAACCACACTATAAGACAGAGTGAAACATTTGTAAAAATATGTTAGAATTTATAGATAAACACAGCATAAAACAAAGTGGAATATTTATAAAAATATATCAAAACATAAATGATAATCGTATTATAAAATGTAATAAAACTCTTGTAATAATATACCAAAACACAAAAAAAATCACACCATAAAATGTATAGGCAGCCATATTATGCCACATTTGCAAAAATATATCAACAGATATAAATAATTATATTATAAAACAAACTAGTTAATATATGGAGAATCTTATGTAAACAGATCGGAATGAGGGTAAACATGTATTCATTCGAGTGTAAAATCATACCAGGAAACACACTAATAGATGGTATTCTCAGTGTTACGTTCCGAACAGGAATCTTTTTCAAAATTTCCTTTGTAGTTTTGACCGACCGGATGTGTATCGATAATGCGTATTGCATTCTGGGAACACCCTGATCGAACGCAGTAACGGTCTTTCAATGTTTATTAGATAGATTATCTTTTGGCGACTAAACTATGATTGTTAATATAACACATTCCTTCCTTGAAATCAACGTGGTCCCACGGCTAAAATCTTAGATCATTTCATTTCTCCGAACCGCCGAATATAAACGGGTCACACTCGTGTGGTCCGATAACGCCAAGCGTTCTAGAATGTTCCTCAAGGGCCCACGACGCAATATAAAATTGTAATAGAAATTGTCTTTGCAACACTACAAAATTATATAAATTACTCATAGTATTTCTTTATACCGTTATTATGAATACGCACACGTCAATCAGTTCCACAATAGTTACAGTACCGAGCGCGATTTAACTTTAATAATTGTAAAACGAAATAGATAATGTTCATTCTAAATTTCTATAATGTATACAGATTAACATTTTA